TTACTGAGTATAGGAAGATTGTTTATTAGTAGGAAGTTGTTAAAACAGGTAGTTTCTTCAGTATGAGATGATATATTGGTAACTAAAGGGAAGGGTAGTTCTTCTGTAGGGTCGCTTGCCATATACCCGGTTTTCACGGTTGTGCAAGAGTCCAAAGCCTGTCCTGTACGTTGGGTCTGGCCGTCATAAAATTAGTCTTCCACATAAAGTTGTATAATTTGATTTTTATAAATTGGATGAAAAACTTTGTTTTTTGAACTTTTACAAAAATTAATTTTACAACTAAGCTACGTCTAACTGAAGAGTTCTAATAAGGACAAAACTAGTATTAGACTTGCTAACTCTAACTCTAAAACTCCCCAAAAAAATAATCTAAATTCAACTTTAAACAATATAACTATAATAAATCTTAGCTATGGAAACAATTCAAGAAGTTGTCATGGAAAGCACTAAAACAACTTCTTCCACATTTACCTCTAACAAAGATAAAAGTGTAGCCCGGCTAAGATATTTGCAGTGGCAATGAATAATACTAATAATTCGTTACCAAATCTCGCTGTTGCTAAGCAGAAATTCGTGAGTCTTTCTCGCGCAATCGATGCTGCTGAGGCTAAAATAGCCAAAGCTAGTAGTTATGCAGTCAGTAGTCTGTACGAACTAAAAATAAAAGCTCCAGTGATGTTTGACGCTGAGGTTATTGTTAACCTCAATAGAACTATCTATACAAGTGTAGTGGATACTTCAGTTACTGTTTTAGGAGATAAACTCCTTAACTTGCGTGAAGCCTATAACAATATTGTTACGGAATTCAATGAAGAGTTAGCTGCTTCTCGCAAAATTTTGTTGGATGAAAAAGATGCTAGTGACAAAGAAAATAAGGACCATGCTTATTAGATTAACTTTGCTAATACCATCATTAATTTTAACCATAATGAGCTATGTCATTTCATTGATAACTTCCTAGCTAAAAAAACTTTCGCCAATACACCTGGTGTAATAAGTTATTTAAGTAATGACAGTTCTATTATAGAGGAATACTGTACTGAAAATAATATTATTGATTCTACAGAATCAAACATTTGCCAACAAAAAAAGAAAAAAGGTCAAGGAAGGAGAAGGAGGCAAAAACAAAAACAAAAAGAAACAAAAGAAAATGCCTCCGACCTCTCAACCCAACAAACAACCACAACCACAACACCCTAAGGGTCTCCAAAAGCCGAAAGACAAAAGACCCCAAAGGCTGTGAGTGTTAATAACATTTCTTTCTTGAAATATTTGCTTATGTATATTTGGAAAAGTTTAGACCATAGTACTAACTTCCAACTTACTAAATATTGTTCCTTTCAGCAATGTCAAAAAGACTAGCAAAAAACAAAAGCAAGGCTCTATAATGAACTTAGGAAAAAAAGTTTAAAGGACATAAGTTTGTTTTTTGTTAATGATAAAATATTAGATATTAGTTTTGAAATTGTATCCTATCAAAACTTATGTAAAGAGATATCTAAACGTAATAAAATTCATAAGTCTAAATTTGGCATAAACAAAAAATTAAATAAAGCTTTCAGGTTTTTGGTTGAGAATAATCTAGTAGTCATATATGCAGATAAAAATATGGGTCTCACTATTATAGATTTTGCTTGGTATAATGATCAGGTTAAAAAACATTTAGGTGACCAAACTGTATATGTTAAAATGCAAAATGAATGGGTATTTGAATCAATAAATGCCTATGCAGAATTATTTGGAATAGTTTATGACTATCCTAATAAAATTATAACTGATTGAGCGGACCAAGAATTTCTTAATATTGCTGATCCAAACATGGAATTTTATCCTCCAATGTTTTATATTATTTCTAAACTGCATAAAAATCCTATAACAAGCTATCCTATTACTCCAAGTCATTCTTGGATAACTAGTGATATTTCAAAGTACTTAGCAAAGAAATAGTCTGTGCTATTACTGTTATGTGATTACATTTTGCCTAACTCGCTTAAACTTATTAAGGAAATCGAGGAATTAAATGAAACAAAGTCTTTACCGGCTACTATAGGTTTGTATACATGGGATATCAAAAGCAGGTATACAAATGTTGACCTAGAGAATATATGTATTCACATTAAGGAATTGTTAATATTCTTTAAAGTGAGAGAAGTAATAGCTGAATTTGAAGTTAATCTACTCAAATAGGTCAACAATAATTCTTATATCAAATACTAAGATTTTTGATATAAACAAATAAGTAGTTTGGCTATAGGAAGTTCAGTTTTACCTGTAGCAGCTAATTTGTATATGGCTAAGATTCTTATCAATGCTTTTGGTGATGCTAATAACATAATATTTAATAATATTATATACATTAGGTCATATATCAATTATGTTTTCGCAATTATGACTGACTCATATAGTTGTGAATTCATGGCTAATAGAATAAGTAATACTGCCTTTCCATCAGGTTTTATTTTAGGAGGTACTACAGCAAATAAGGTATCGTTTCTTGATTTAAATTTAGAAACTTGTCTTATGTTGTCAGAAAGTAGAAGTGCTTATAGAGATGTGGCTATAACACCGTATGATAAACCTACAAACATCTATGCCTATACTGATACTGAATCCTATTATCCTTATAATTATCATTACTCATAGATCCAAGGTGAAAATATTCGCCTAATCTGGAATTCAGATAACTTCGATGCTTATAATCAAGCACTAAAGGAATTTAAGTACTTCTTAAGTAATCAAAAATATCCTATAGTTGAGGTTGATAAAAATCTAAGCATAACCAACTATGCATAAAGGAAAGATTTGCTCAAAATAAAGGACAAAAATAATGAATTTATTGAGCAAATCGATATTATCCTACCAGTGGAAAATAATCCAAGTCGTGATATTATTATAAAATTATTTAAATAGGCATTAAAAATTTATAATTGCAGTGCTTTGATGTAGTCAAAGCGAATGCTTAGAGTCACTTTTCCTGTTAGAAGTAGTACAGCTGTAATCGATATACTTAACAAAGCAAAAAAGAAAGTTTTGCATGCTAATCTTGAATAAGTTAGCAATTAATAAAGTTAAAGGAATAACCTATTGAACTATTGAAGTAGATTTTACTTGTTACTTATCTATGGGACGATAGTATTTTTCCCTCTTATAATGTAAAACTTGTGGAAGGAGATAATAATATTTTATTATTTTAGGAGGTTAAAGTTTTTGGTTCTCACTCGAAAGAGCGAGCTAACCATAACTCTAACCCTAACCCTAACCCTAACTCTAAAACCTGTTTAAATATATTGTTTCCTAATTTGGTTAAATTAATTCTCTAATTTGAATAAATTAATTACCTAAAATTGAAATTTTCCTTTTTTAGGATATTGTATTAAACCCTAAAAAGGATAAATTAATTTCTATATAAAGCAACTCTAGCCTTATTAGGTAACACTAAAAAATTAAAGTTTTAATTTAAATTAAAAACTGTTATATTTGGATAAAACCGGTTTTTAATTAAAAAAGTTACCTAAAATGGTATTAATAATTTAAAGTTATTAATAATATCTATATTCAGATATATATTATAATTAATATTTTTTTCAGATCGGAATAACTATTTTTGGAATATCCATGCACAGATTTGCTGATCCTATATAAGGGACCAGCTATGTACCTTTCTGAGCTGAGTATCTCTGAGATTAGCTATTTTAAGAAATTAATATCCGATGATATACATGTATAGAAATTAATTAAACGTTACATGTAATACAATATTACAATCTATAAATAAATAATTAAAAATTTAATTATTTATGTAACGATTTGTTTCGGATAAATGTTTCAAGTTTATCTATGTTACAAATAAGGATAAATTTAATAAAAATTAATTAATCGTGTGTAAATTATTAAATAATTTAATTAATTTTAATTAATAATCATCCTGTTTTAGAAAATTAATAACGGAAGTTCAATGAACTTCTATAAACTTTTCGATAAACAAAAGGAGTATCTCCGATAGGTATATCGATATACTATTTTTCAATGAGAAATAATTTTTTTGAGGCGTGAGGTTGTATAATTTGATTTTTATAAATTGGACGAAAAACTTTGTTTTTTGAACTTTTACAAAAATTAATTTTACA